TCTTTCGAAACAATCCAATTAGACACCCATTTTTGCACATTCCTGAAATTATTGATCTGCCAATCTGTATGTATCTGCCAAAGCGTGTTGTATCGATTGGAACAGATGGTAAACAGATGCTAGGTCTGGAGAATACGCTGGGTACGGAAGGATTTCTCATTCGAGCTCTAACAATGTTTGTTTAACGATTGAAGCAACATGTGGGCGAGTATTATCGTGCAAAAGAATCACTTTGCATCTATTGCTCGCTATCGCTGGCCTTTTTTACATCAATTCACTAATCAATTTGTTCAATTGTTGCTGGTATCGCTTATCCATAACTGTTTCATTCGGTTTTAGAAGCTCATAGTACACCATACTTTCCATATCCTATCAAATACAGAGCATTGCTTTGTGACCATAAATGTTTCGCTTTAGTGTCGATGTTGATGCTTTTTCTGGATCAACCCATGATTTTCTTGCTTTGAATTATCAAAATAAATCCACTTTTCATCTGCAGTTACAATTCGTCACAAAAAATTGTGGCGATAATCCTTTTCTGTCTGGCAAACAAAAACATGGCGATATTCAAACGATTTGCAATGGCACTTTCACTCAATTCATGTGGAATCCATTTGCTTTCCTTTTGAATTTTTTCCATGGCGTGTAAGCGTTTAGAAATTCTTGATTTATCAATGTTAAGTTGTTCAGCTAATTGTTTTTCCATTTGAGCAGTGTTTTCATTCAATAATGCTTGCAATTCAGAATCTTCGAATTTTTTTAGTTGACTAGTACTTTTGAATCGTTGAAACCAAAATTTACAGTTGGAATATGATGGAGCTTGATCACCATAAATTGTAACGAGCATTTCATGAGCATCAGTTATCGATTTTTCAAATCAAAGAAAAAAGTAATGAACGTCGAAAATGCAATTTTGTACGATCCATTTTAGACGCGTATAAACAATGAAATTATCAGTAACATTAGCGCGTAAACTGTCACATGTCATAGAGAAATGTCAAATCTTTCAGTGTTGCCATATTTCAACATTCGTACTAACTATTAACTTGTTACTAAAACCATCTATTGCTAGGGATCAGAACTAATTCAAGCTCCTAATATAATATAAATTTTCAATGATAAAAAAGTAATAAAAGATAATAAATTTTTCTTTTGAATACATGATAACATGAGCTTCTCTAAGATTTACAAATATATCTGAGACTGTTATTAAAAAAATAAACAAAGAAAGTGAATAATCGCTTTTCCTAGCACATAGTAGAAAGATATTTTTCTCTCAATTTATGCGCAATTTATTACGCAATCGCTATACAATTTATTTTATTATCCTATTTTGTAAGAAATATAAGCCTCGTGCAATCGAACGTTACACATCCAGAATGAACATTCCAGCATGAACATTTAGCCATCGTTCAAGCTTGAAACGGAAAATTGACAAAGATCGCTCGAACGAGTAGATGAGAATGGTAAGAATGATTACTCGCGCGATTCGTGTTATCTGGCACCGACGTGATCAAACATGAATTCCGTCGGGTAAAGATGATAGATTATGATTATTTGCCGTTTAAATTGCCAGGCGTAATCATTTACTTGCCTACCTGCGTTATCATAGATCATCGCCGGACATCGGGTGGGATGTAATAACACGCGAATACACGCACAACACCCTCGCGTGCGCTGACTCACGCGAGAAGATACAGGGTGTCCCAGGACCATCTCCAAACTCTTTCAGTCCTGGACTTCTTCGATCGAGTCGAAGTCTCCGCGTTCGTGATGAACGCGCAATTCAATGTCCAATCAATCAGGAACGAAACGTCCTGTCTTTCATTCCAAAAGATTCACTGATGGAAGAAACGCAATAATAATTTCTGAACATTGTGTATAAAACAACCTTGAATTCTCGAAACAGATGTCAGCCCTCGGAGACACATTGTGGGGCGGTACGCCGGCTTGCGGCTTGACGAATAGTACCGCAAACACGAGCAAATTTTGTCGACGACATTCATAATTGATGTGAGTAGAAAATGGGGTGGCCTTCTGAGCTATTTAGCGCGCAGCGAGCAACACTGGATAATTTAGTGTTAACGAACGATCGTCGTTTAGCGGAGTAATTATGACGGGCATTAGGAACGGAAGATTTGTTATCGCATTCAAGATGAGCTCGACCGAGCGCGAAAACGAGGTTTCTTCGACAAGGGGGAGCTAAGAAAATATTTGCCTTGACACTTCTCCTAGCGTAGACACGCGTTGCGTCAAAGAGAAGAATTATTTAAAGATAGAGTAAAACGAAGAAGGGACGGAAAAAGAGTGAGTGAAAGGGGAGGGGGAAAAAGAGAGGCTCCAGAAATTTTTCTTCTTCCGGGAGCAGCCCGAGTTACTCTTGTATAATCTCGGGATTTCAGAGTGACTCGCTTGTTTGACGGGTAAATGTTAGTCCGACACTGAGACTAATGCAGCCGTATTATGACGGACACAATCAACACGATGGCTCTGTTTGCAAATAACGGGAGAAAAACTTGGCCGGAGGAATGAAAATAATTCGAACTGGGAATCTACAACTCCGTCGAGGTTGACGTAACCAACGTGCCGGGCGAAGCTGTGCTGTGCGGAGAATGAGGGACTGGAAACGAACTATTTATTACAGAGAAACAACGACCGTTGAAACGGTTTTGCAGACTGAAAAAGACGAGAGGATGAAACTAATGAGACTAACAACCGCGCGCCATAACCGTGCAAACAACGAAACTTTTGCTCAAGATAACGTTTAGATAAAGAAATGCGCGCGACTGGCGACGATAACGAAATCGTAGGATAAAAATCCAAAATAAAAGAAATAAAAGAGAGAGAGAGAGAGAGAGAGAGAGAGAGAGAGAGAGGGAGAAAACGACAGAGAAATATCTCGGGCAGAGGCGAAAAGAGAGAATTGAGAGTCGTTTCGACGTTGTCGAAATTTTTCGCGAACCGCCGCGCCTCGATTACGCACAAAATTTCGACCCGATCGTTGCGCGATTTGCACGCGAATACGCGTGCAGCGGGTCGGCGAATTCCGGGTGAGAAATTTCGTGGGCAGTTGTGTGCACTCCCACGTGTGTCCCGTATGAACGTGTCACGAGTACGCCGGCGTTTCGTATATTTCTAACTGTCCCGCAACGAGCGGAGAAACAACGGTCAAAAATACGAAATATTTAGGGATTACCGTTCGCGACGGAATTATATAAGAGGATAATATCTTTTCGCGAGTGCGTCTCGTTTGTTAATGAGAAGCGAAATTTTTGCTACGAAATAATGATCGAGAGAAAAAAGGAGAGAGGGAGCATCAAATCAGCAACAAATGCGAATGTATCGCGATTCTCCCGTACTTCAATCACTCTGACGTTCTTCCAATCAATCCTGTCGAAAAAGAATCACGGTTACTGTTAACATAATATTTCGCGCGGGGATCATCGGGATACAAACAATCGCGCTACAGCCACGTAATCGATCGGCTCACAAGCTGTGGTCCGCACGGCCGCAGCGTGTGTGTGTATGTATGCGATGTACGCGCAAAATGAAAAGCTATGATGTTTAAGCGAAACTAATATTAGAACGATTGCTGCCGCGCAGTTAATAGAACGTCGGTTCCATCCCCCGGATAATGAAGCGCAGCTAGAGCGAAGCGCCAACAGTGTGACGTCGATTGCATCATCGGGATTGTTCGGACGAGAAATTGCCATCGTGAATTCGCCAAACATTCATTTAATCCAAATGAGTATAATGTTCCCCGAAACAGTGGCGTCTTTCATACAGCATACAGCCGCGCGAAACGGAGCTTAGCAATGCCCGGCAAATTCCTGAAGAAATCCGGAACGATCCGCGAGCGCTCGAAAAACGCACATCCGCACATCGGAGAATTGTAGACACGTGTTTAAAAAAAATAAAAGTAAAACCAAATAAAGAAGAACAGCCATATATTCATGGGATAAACGGTGATTTCCGTTATTAATCTACCCCCTATCCTTCCTCTCTCTCTCACCCTCTATCTCTCTCGATAAGCCAGCCATTCGTTTTCCGAAGAAAACTCATTTCGCCAGTATTGAAACAGTCATACGAAAACCAATGCGCGCACGTCGGGCGAATATTGCGCCTCTAATTAACCGAAATTTTGTCAGGCCGGGGTTCGAGAGATCGGGATCGAATAGCCGAAACGTCGATGGCTTTCGACGGCGTAACGTTGCCTGAACGAATCGCCGAGTTCTGATTTCTCTCGTTCGAATTATACTGGGGATGCAATCAAAACCGGCGCTCTCGCGACCCCCGGAGGCATCTTCATTATTCGCGGACATTGAAGCCGTGATGGAGGCGGAGAGAAAGAGAGAGAGAGAGAGAGAGAGAGAGAGAGAGAGAGAGAGAGAGAGAGAGAGAGGGGAGAGTAGGGGCAGCATTCCTCTCTGTCCGTGTCGACGCTGTTTGCGCAACAATCACACTAACCGAATTATCCTGATCACATCGGGCACACGTTCAAACATGTGCGCCTCTACCCCTCAACCCTTTTCGCCACTCCTTCTACCTTCGCATTCCCTTATCCTACATGTAATTGATTGGATTTTATTTACACGGATCCACCAATGGTGATAAAAAGTAGAGACGGCGGAGGAGGAAGGGAAAAGAGTGATAAGGCGTGCTCGACCTCCTTCCGTCCTTTCGAGGGGTACCTTCAAGAGGGGTGCTTCAGTACGCCTTCGACCGCGAGGGGTGACCATAAGGATGTGTTCATCCTGTCGGTGTTAAGTGCCCGGGACTCAGCTGTGGCGGCAGAACGAGGGTGAGCGAGGAGATTGTTTCGTCTTAGGGGTGTATTTCTCCCCTCTTGATTTACCGATTTATTTATCCCGGGCGCGAGATTCCCCGCGACCGGTGTCAGTCTGGAGGATCTTTTAATTTCGATTTGATCCTCGGAGATCGCACGCCGATTTCTCTTTTCCCTTCTTTTTCGTCACGCTCCCCGAACCGCCATTTCAAACATGAAGCCGAATCGCTGGCAGTTGAAGAAGTTGACGAAAGTCGCGAAGCGAGCGACCATGCGAGTCGATCCACACAAGAATCGCGGCCACGGCAGGAGATTCAGGACGATCCTACACGCGTTAAATTACTATTGCACGCACACGACCTTTCACGGCTTGCGATACGTCGTCGACCCTGATTTGCACGTCGTCGAACGACTGCTGTGGCTCATCCTGTTCGCTGTGTCCTCTATCGTCGCCAGCAAGGTGATCTACTCGTTGGGGTTCCGATATCAGGTAATAACCGTAAATTAAGGACTATAGTAATGTATCTATAATGTATCAAAGTGAGCCTTCAAAGAGATGAATAGATGCTGATGAAACTGCTATCCAATTCAGCAATGAAGCTTGAAATGAGACGTGTTACTGACAAAAATGGTAATTTACCTATTTCCTTAAGGACTTAGGGCGGATTCACACTTCGGCAAAAAAAGCAGAAAACGGAAAGGCAGCATTCAGTCGGAAGTCGCGCTGATAGTCTATCTCTCTCTCTTGGGAGAGAGAAAGAAGAAAGAAACAGATTATCAGTGTGACTTCTGACTGGATGCTGCTTTCTGCTTTTCTGTCAAGGTGTGAATTATCCCTTGGAATATTTACGAAGCTCGCAAACGGCCAAGCATCTTGATCGATTCAACCTATGTATGTACAAAGTGTTTCTTAAGCATTGTCCAATATTTTAAGAGCTGATTTTTAAGATTATTCCATGAAGAAAAGTTCGTATGAATACATGATATCAAAGGCTTCATTTTACAGAGATATAGGATGTTAAAAAATTCTATAGAATTCTATAGAATTATCGCTTTCTCTCAATTTCAAGCTTTTAAGTAAAAAGAGGTTTCATTTTCAAATTCGGTTCAATCAATAGGTAGGAAATATCTACTTTTACCTATCATTTTTGACTGATATTCGCCGTTTTGTAAAAAATTAATGACGTAGAGATGGGGCTTGGGTAATACATTACTGCCCCTTTATACGCCAGAATAGAACTAAATTTTTCTTACAAAATTTTATTATTTTTTTAAGTACATGCAGAAAAGTATTGTTAGTAGGTCTCGATAAAGCTATTAGTTGAGGGAATATGTGCATTCAAAGTTCGAAACTCCTTTCCTGCGCCATTGACTTCTGCAAAATGGCGACTATAACAAAAAATAGAAATAATAGCTTACCTACAGTGGCGTGCAAAAGTTTCGAGCCATAGTATCTTTTTAAGATACATGACAATATATTGATTTGCTCTAAAAATTAATTATATAGAATAGTTGACATAACATTCTTACAAATAATAGTACAGTTACAAAATTTTGAAATTATATAGTTTCTAATTATTTAGTCATATAATATTTACATGTGTTCAAAAGTATTGAGCCGTATTCTTGTTGTGACTTTATGAGCCCGGTTTGTTTACGTTTCTTATGAAACTCCTTCGTAAATATTTACTTTAACTAAGGTTCAGTCTATTGTCTACCGCAATGCCGAAACATACAAGCCTTCAGTTATGCAAAGCCGTGATTAATCTTTCTCAGCAAGGAAAGGTTTCTCACGACATTGCTAATTGCTTATTAATTGATAAAAGTACTGTAAATAGGATTATTGCTAAATATAAATTGACGAACTCTCTAGCTGATAAATCACGAAACGGTAGACCTCGCAAAATTACAAAGCATGTCGACAAAATGATTAAAAGAAAGTCGATAGCAGATGTTAGAAAAACTGCCATGGATATTTCTTGAGAACTACGAGAAGAAAATCTTGCAGATATTAGTCGAAGTACAATGTCTCGATGTCTAAAGGAAGTAGGATTTTTAGGACGTGCTGGTGTAAAAAAAACCATTAATTAGTGCAAAAAATAAGAAAGCTCGATTAGATTTTGCAAAGAGATTTGAACATTAGACTGAAGTTGATTGGCGAAAAGTACTTTTCTCTGACGAGTCAAAATTTCAGTTATTCGGAAGTGACGGTAGAAAGTATATACGACGTCCAACAGGCATAAGATATAACTTAAGATATCAAATTCCTACTGTAAAACATGGTGGAGATAACGTGATGGTTTGGGGATCATTTTCTTATAATGGAGTCCATTGGTTGAGATCACGGGTACTATGGGCGCTATAATGTATCAAGATATATTGACACAGCATATGCTGCCATATGCAACTCGAAACATGCCACGTAGTTGGATATTCCAACAAGATAACGATCCCAAACATTCATCAAAACTAATAAAAGAATTTTTCATCGTGAAAAAAATGCGAGTTCTTGACTGGCCCTCGCAATCGCCGTAAACTTGAATCCTGTTGAGCATTTGTGGCAAGAATTCAAACTACGTACAGGAAATAAGTACCACTCCAATAAAGCTAAATTGTGGCAAGATTTGCAAACTCAATAGCAAAATTTACCTCAAGATCGCATTTCTAATTTAATAGCATCAATGCCTTGCCGTTGTGCTGCAGTGATTGTTTCTAAAGGCATGGCAACAAAGCATTAAGTTTAAAAAACGTTGACAACATTTTCTGTTATTATTTTTCAATAATATATTTTTCTTATGCATAAGAAAACTCTTTGGCGCAATACTTTTGCACTGTTTGTAATAAGACATTGTGTAAAAATAAAGTATTTAGAATTATTAAGAGTTTGTAAAGTTTATATAATTGTAGGACAAATAAATACATTTTGTTTATATACATGTGTAAAGTTTTTAGCGCTCATTATGAAATGAATATATAATAATAATTGTGTGGCTCAAAAGTTTTGCACGCCACTGTATATCTATTGGCATTTACCAAGTTTAAAATAGAAACTTCTTTTTGTTCAAGAGTTATTCAGATAAAAATGATAATATTGTAGAATTTTTAATAACCTTTATTTCTGAAAGAAGACCTTTATGATCACACTTTTATATAATATTTCCTTCATATAGTAAAATAATCTCAAAAATCAATTTCTAAATTATGGAAGAGTACTTAAAAAACATTTTGCGGACACTTTCGCTTTCGTAGGATTTCAACTACCTGCTGATATTAGGTACCACTCGGTACAATTATCTGCTGATATTAGGTACCACTCGGTGATATCGAGTTTCGATGATATCGCGGTAGAACAATGGGCTTTCTCGTAGGGTTTTATGATATCGGTAACGTGACCACCGCATAAATTTGTTTAGGCCGCACCAACGTCGATCGGCATCGACTCGATGCATTACAAGATCTCCAGCTTGCCCTTTCCGAGCGTAACCCTGTGCCCGAACGACCGCGTAGACTGGAACCGGGCCCTCGAGCTCGAACGGAGGATCTTCTCTAATGATACGGACAAGGCGAGTCTCGAAACTTTTCGAAAGATACTCGGGAGGCTCTCCATGATGAGCTTCGGGGATTTCGACGAGCTGGATTTTCTGAAGAACCAAAGTCAAAGTATTCACGGTCTCTCGGGTAGGACAGCCTGTTTCTTGACTTCTATATAGACTCACATGTGAACGTGGGCGACCTATAATGTTCTTCTTCTACTTCAGCCGATTTTACTCTTTTGACGTTTTGCTATTCGGCAACGTCGACGCATATACGTTTAGAACGCACAAAACGTAATATCAGTAATTAATATTATGGTCTACCTAATCTAACTCTATCTATATCTACTACTTAATCATCGGTAATATACAGGCTTTGCTAACGAAAAAACTTTCCACGTCAATTATTCTATAACCAATTGATTTTTTCGATTGATTTGTCAAAAATGTCGATACACGTCAATATTGTTTCCAAGAGGACTGTATATTGTGATAAATTTAATTATATTACTTCATCCCCTTAATCCTAAAACACACATCTAGGGTCTCCTAGACTTTGTAAAAATCGAATTTTTATCAAATGCTTTATTTTCGATAGTTATCTTTCACTTCATAACTTAACAGAATAAAACTTCTCGCTATTATAATCTATTTAAACATACTTCCAAATTTCAACATACTTCTATTTAAGCATACTCTTAAATTTCAGAGCTTCGAAAAAAAACAGGATCCAAAAATATTAAGCTGAATATTAAGCGAAATTACAGCCTATCAAAGTTATAAAGATTTCTCAAACCTATAGTGTGTGTTTCTGTGATTATCCGGAAGATATTCTAGGGTTAATAAGGTTAATAGTTATTCCCCAAAAAATCTTAAATAGCAATAAAAGTCAAGTCAGAGTAATATATCATTTCAAAAGTATTTTAATTCTCTTCACAACGATGTTTATTTCTGTTTTTAATTTTAATAAATATTTGTGAAAACTCGCATTTAGAAATTTGAGTGATTCGGGTAAGTAAAGGATTCTAAAACTGTTATTGTTTCGTCAATAGCGAAAGTCACGCTCAGGTCGACCGAAAGATGGTTAATTTGGAAGTACGGTAAATCATATCAGTTATGATCTCTTGATCAAGCTGAACGTGATTTTCGCTATTGACTAAATAATAACAATTCTAGTAAAATCTTTTACTTACCCAAATTTCCAAATGCGATTTTTCAAAAAATATTCATTCAAATTTAAAAAATAGACACCACTGTGTGTGTAAAGCGAATTAAAATACTTTTAAAATGATATATTCTTTAACTTCTATTGCTATTTAAAAATTTATTTGTTAAGGGATAGCTACCCTAATTAAAGGAATGAAGTGATACAGTTAAATTTATCATAATCATACAGCTTCCTTGAAAATAATATGTATATCGGCAATTTTGACAAAAATCAATTAATTACAAAATTAATGGTGGAGGGTTTGTTGGCGGACCATCCTATATATGCATATGTGTATGTGTCAATATAATATTGGTATTAATATCATATGGTATTAGTTTAGTATAATTTATAATATAAATTTTGGCAACGTCGTTGAAATCGGTATCGTCACTCCCCCCCTCGCCACTTGAAACCCTTTCATAATCACGTGCGTGTTGTCTAGAAATAACGAGGGATTACGATCACAGGCATCAACATGACCGAAGTGTTGTACGAGACGATGCCACGCTGTGACGAGCTTATGTCCAACTGCTGGTGGCGCAACGGCAATCGCGACTGTTGCGAAATCTTCGAAGTGCAGCGCACCGAGTACGGATTTTGCTACTCGTTCAATTCGGAACTGGCGGAACCTCTCTCATCACAGACTCAACACACCGGTCGCCGTCCGGAGTCGCGGCCACGAAGAGCGTCCGGCTACGGTGAGTGGAGCGGCGTCAAGGTTACGATGCATCTGGGAAACATAACGAAGCCACCAGATTCCGGTAAGTAACGGGACACTGCGGAAGGGGACAGTGGTTATCGACTTCGACGCAATATTCTACGTGGCTGGGCGCACGGCTTCCGATCTTCCGACGTTACGCGCAGAAGTACCGAAGAACGTTTGCTTGAGATCGTGCGGGTTGAGCGTGAAGAAAGATTGGCTTTGTCGATATTTGTCTCAAAAAAACTCAAAAAGAGTCTGATCGTCTTAAATAAATTGTCCGGTAAATTCAGCGCGCTCGCAATTCCCTTAGGAAAAATTACTTTAAATTTTCAAATTACTTATAGTTAACTGTACGAAATTTATAATTAACTATAAGTAACTTTAGGTAACTATAAGTAACTTTAAGTTAATTGGAACATCTTAAGTAATTTTTCCTAAGGGTTGATCGCTGATTTGCTTTCCAGTCATGAGTCTGAATATCACCTCTACGTCGTATCATGTTGAAAAATCCACGGCTTCATCGGCGAATTAACCCTTTGAAGCCTTTTGATTTTTATATTTCTCTGTTCAATGGTTTTTCATCAAAATTTGTATATAATGGTTTTTGGTGTCTCTGATTATAAATCCGCTAGAATTTCGAAATTTACGATGGCGGATCCAATATGGCGAACCAAATTTTAAAAAGTTTTCGATTTCCATGAAAATTCGTACATAGGAGGTTTTGGGATCGCTGATTACGGATTCGCTATCGTCTGTACAAAAGGGAGAAGCTTTGTGGCCACTCAAAACAAAAATAAAAAGTCCAGAAAAATGAAATAAGACAAAACAAAAAATTATGAAAGCATTAAAATCAAAAAAATAAAAAGAAGAAGCGAAAAGGACAACGACAAAAAAGAAAACAAATAGCAAAAGGATAAAAGATAACAGAAACTAAAAAACAATCATAACCGGAGAAACAGAAACAAAATAAAAAATAAAACAAAAATAAAAGTTTTCATAAATAAAAATAAACATTATTTTAGATTTTTTTAATTTCCGGCATTGAATATTATTTATCAGATTTCATAGATTGACAAAACTGCTCCAATTCTGACAGCAGATTCATAATATCCAGAAAATTTCTACATACCAATTTTCATGAAAATCAAAAATTTTTTTAAATTTTTGTTCCGCCATATTGGATCCGCCAACTCGAATTTTGAAATTCCGACAGCGAATTCATTATCAGCGGCCCCAAAACTTCTATATACCAATTTTCATGGAAATCAAAATTTTTTAAATTTTGGTCTGCCATAATGGATCCGCCATTATGAATTTCGGAATTCCGTCAGCAGATTCATAATCAGCGACTCTAAAAATCTTAAATGCAAAACCTTAAATGCAAATTTTCGTGAAAGACTTGATTAAAAAAATGAATCTTCAAAGTTTTAAAAGGTGTTGCATATATGCAATACTATGCTGCAAAAGGTTAAAAAACTTGAATGGAAAAGTTACCTCGACGCGACAGCGAATCCTGTTGCTGTAATTAATGCTGGACATTAATCGATTTGATTGATCCACCAAATAATCAAAATCAATAATGATCAATAATGATCAATAATAATCATATATATTATCATGTAATTATACACATATGTTGCGTACATATATATACATACATATACATACATACAAAATATTATAATAGAATCATGAAGAGCTCTCTTCTGATAAAATCGATCGATGAAATTAATTATTAGTCAGTTTATATTTAATAAAATCAAAGTAATCGATTATAAAACAATTATTGTATGTGATCATGATTTATTTGTGAATTTTAATTATTTTAATCAACCAGAATTTTTTGATCGATTAATACCTGACTAACGTTGATTAGGAGACCGGAGATTTTTCGTAACGCAATATGAGAAACGTATTAACAAATAGCTCGTGGAACATTGAGCACGATTGCGCGAGTAATTCGATTCATGCTTGGTTTGATCATTAACATTTGTTGTACGTTCGTGAGGCTTCTCAATAATTTGCAACCGCAATAACGTTTCAGACCAAAGCGTGTTTATAATATTGATTAAGGGATGTAATCAAATTATTTGAACAAACATTTAGTATAAATCCGAGCCGGAGCAGAAATGGTGAGGGCCAACATAATGGCGAGCAGAACGTAAACTCGAGTAAACTGTGGCGCATTAATAACTAATATTATTTCTGCCGAGATCCGCGCTAAATGACAAAGTGTACACAAACGACACATTGTTACTAATCCGCGCGTTATGCAAACGCGTCGCAGAATCTCGCAAATACAATTTTAATATCCTCGCGAAACCCGCCGTCCACTATGACGCATTTTGAATAGAACGCGCATCTCCCCCGTTCTACCGTAATGTCGCTCCTTTATTACTCTCACGCGCGCGCGCGAAATGGGAGGGGATTTATCGTAAACTGCAAAATCGATGTATCGGCGCCGTATTGCGAGGCAGTTATTGAAATGTCGCGTCCAAAGACCTCTTCCGTATTCTAAGCCGCTCTGATCGTAGTCAGCGACGAAAGTGGAAGAAAAGGAAAAAAATGCGGATAATTTTTTACTGCAGACTCGACGATCGCTCACGCAGGTAACGAGGAAAGCTCGAAAGGACGAATTATAAGAAGAATGTCTCTTTTTCCATTCTCCGTCTTCTTTAACAAAAGTTATCGTGCAAAAGATTGTGATAAGAGTATAAAACCCTCAATCAGTGCAGTTGAGTAGATTAGTAGATTACTCCTGTACAAGGACAAAATAGGCAAATAGACAAATAAGTGGACAGCGAATGAAAATAGAAACAGACTCTACATACAGAATGTTTCAGAAATAAGTGGTCAAACTTTAAATGTATATTCTACTTATTGTAAAGATGGAAAAGTGTATATATATGTATATAAGCAGTTATATAAGCAGCATATGATTATAATATAAGATCATATGGATAGAAACGTTTCTTTTCCAAGTTATAAGCTATAACTTTTTATTTACGACGGACTTTAGTAAGAATATAGAATAAGTTGTTATCTTGACACTATCTAAAACGCTTAGTAAAGACTGATTCCAATATTCCAATATTCCAAACAGACTTATATATCAACTTATTTACTTCTAATAGAGAAGGTGAATAAAGGATAATGCATGACACATCGATGCAAAATATGTTGTCTATTGTAAATACAAAGCGTTTATAACCTGGAAAAGTATATTATTTTTTCTTATCTTTACAGTGAATAGAGCTAGCTTTTGAAGTTTGGCCACATATTTCTGAAACATCCAGTATAATGAATACTCCAAGTAATGATGAGAAATGTTTAGTCCACAAGATTTGATAAAAAATTAATTGCAAAAAGACATTAATTATTATTAGAATTAAGCGAAAAACAATTTCTATGTATATGCTGACATATAGAATAGCCCATGTAAAGCTTAACAATTAAGTTACCAGAGTTACCAGTTCTAAAAGAGTTTTGTTAACATATATGATGATACTTTTTGTACAAATAAATCCTTTGAATCATGGAATAAGCATATATATATATATGTATATATATATATATATATATATATGTATTTTTTATCCCAATAAGTAATACGAAAAAAGTTAGACCAATAGCGATGTCATGTTTACTAAAGTTTACTTATTTGAAATTTTGAAGTTATCTCCGCTTTGCTTTTAAAGGGGAACGAGGGTAAGTCTTGACACCGATTTAAAGATCCCTAGGGTCCGTGAAGAACGGCTAAAATTAATCGTGTGCTATTTGGGATATTAAGCTGTTAAGCCTTATATGAGCTACCCGATATATACATTGTTTTTATAATAATAATTGAATTTATTATAATAATTAAAATCCGTCTCTACTAACTCTCATCTTCTTTATACCCGAAATTCGAATAAAGCAATTCGTTAACTCAAACATTAACAATTCGACCCTGAACGAGTGAATCTTATAAAAGTTTCCCAGAGGACGTGCGAGATGCAACAGTCATACAAATGTGCTTATGTATGTGTCGCAGTCGAGATCGACGGCATCGTGGTGATGATAAACTGGCCACACGTTTGGCCCAACAGCGGCACGATGATCCCATCTGGTTCGTTGGTTAGCCTGTCTGTGGACTGCATCTCCGGCTTCGCCACTCAGGGCGTGCTCGAGCTGGACGAAAGTAGGACGCCCTGCAAGTACGATGAAACCGGCATATACAACCAGGAGACCTGTCTGTCGCACTGCAAACGCACCTACGTCATTAAGCATTGCGGTTGCAACCCGTCATTCCTGTTCCCTTTAAGTACGACTTCATATCTCGGAAATCGACGTCAACATCGACTATGACAACGATGGCGACATCATTAACGTTTCGTTACGTTTCAGCCTCGGAGCGCGACTGCAACGTCGAGGATTTCATCTGTCTGGCCGATTTCAATGGTAAGTAAACGTCTCTATCGGATGAACCGTCTTGTACATCTCTCAAATGCGCACGTATATATCGCGCGCGAATCTATCTTTCTTCTTTTCTTCTTTTACTTTTTCTCCTCTGAACGCGTGTCGATGCGACAAGACCTGTTCAACGACTACATCGTCCACTCAGAAGAAGAGATCCCCGAGGACAGTAACGCCATGATCTGCGACTGCCCGCCGGAATGCGACTACTACATCTACAACAGCCGGTACTCTAACGTGCCCATACATGCCGTAAATGGCGTAATGCTGGACGTGCATTTCATCGGACAAACTACCTTCCGCTATAAGACGGACATCGTTATCACACAATTGGACCTTCTTGGTATATTACTCTGCATGCTTTAAAACTGCATTTGTAACGCACTTTTATGTTCTTTCTTTACCGTGTTCACCTCTATGCTCTTACTATACTTACGAGAGATGAAAATTGAATTTCCAAATCGAGCACATGTCTCATACGATATTTTATGTACTTTCTCTCCAAATTAAATTAACCTAACCCAGCCTATATCACTGTGAGTAATAAAAGTTAGGTTAGGTTAGATTAAGTTAAATTAGATTAGGTTGCATTAGTTTGGGGAAGAAAGGGAAGAGACGAGGCTCCTCCCTGCGGGTATATATGTACCCAGATAGCCAAACCTGCGCAAGCAGATTTCGAACAAACCCTGCTATCATAGTTTGATGGCAAATAGGCAACAAATTTAACGCAGAATCTATATATCAAATTATGCTGCCAATCTGCGGTCAAATATGCGCCAGATCCTGCTGTCGGATATTTGACGGCAGATTTGTACCAAAAACCGTGCAAGACTTGCAGTAATTTGATGGCAGATTGGCGGCAGAAACCGAGCAAACTCTGCGCGCAGACTCTACGCGTAGTTTGGCAGCAGGACCTGCGCGGTTTCTGCTGACAATCTGCTCGCACGGCCTGTCATACAGGTCCTGTCGACAAAACACGAGCCTAATGAGGACACAGATGGCTATGGTTTTGATGTGGAGATCTGATCGAAATTGGCGTCAATCTGCGCACATTCTGCTAGCATTTTGCTTACTGGGTACTGTTTTACATACACAAAATATTTAACACTAAATATCTGTTGGTTTTCATCTTTTAATATAATATAAAGTTTTAGTTCATGCAAAAGTGTACACAGTTTTGAGCTGCAAACATTAATTAATCTCAGACACTAATCTTAATTATCCATAACTTTGTAATAAACAAACAATGATAGCTAAACCTATTTGCAAGTTAATCAGACCCTTGGCAGTACACGTCAAATACGTCAAATACGTCATTTAAATCAATAAAGTTGCTGCTAATATTAATATAATTACCGAAAAAATATATTTTCAATCGATTAAATATTTACACATTACACAGGTTGCCAAAAATTAAACAGTTATTTTAATAGTATTCGTATTAGGCATGTGAATTAATTCGATCCATCTGGCGGTCAATTGCTGTACTATGTAATTTTCTAACCTCTAATGTCTGCAAAAGGCTTTATTTTTTAGTTTTGATATCTGGCAATAATATTCAGTTGATAAACATTTGGGTTTGTAACAATAACATCGTATTTATATGATTCGAAAATATCGAAATTCGAGTCAAAAAAGCATCATTTCCAGGAAGTTCTCATTTTCTGTTTTCATTTGAAAAAACAGTCGCTGAATCTCATCGAAAGCTCGTAGAAGCTTATGATGAAAGTGCTCTCACCGATAAATCATGCAGAGAATGGTTTCGACGTTTCAAAAGTGATGATTTCAGTGTCGATGACAAACCTCGTCCAGGTCAGCCGAAGAAGTTCGAGGACGAGGAATTGCAGGCGCAATTGATGAAGATCCGTGTCAATCGCAACATGAACTCGCGCAATTATTGAATGTTGATCGATCAACAATTTCTGTGCGTTTGGGAGCCATGGGAAAGATTTACAAAGAAGGAAGATGGGTACCATACGAAAGAAAGAGACATCGAGAGGCGAAAAGCCATATCTGAAATATTGCTTGCAGGCAAAAAAGAAAAGGTTTTTGCGTCGTATTGTGATTGGAGGCGAAAAGTGGATATATTTCGATAATCCCAAACGAAGGAAATCCATTAGCGACCCAGGAAAACTATCCATATCGATATAAAAGCGGAATATTCACGGTAAGAAAGTGCTCTGTACATGGTGGGACCAGAAGGGTGTAGTGTATCATGAACTATTAAAACAGAGCCAAATCATCACTGCCGAACTTTACCAATAACAATTGATCCATTTAAACAACGCATTGAAGAATAAGCGGCCGGAATATGCAAAGAGACACGACAAAGTGATCTTCCAAGCACGATAACACTCGGCCAGATGTTGGAAAGATTGTGAAGGCCACTTTGGAGGTACTTGGCTGGGACGTTTTACCTCACCCGCCGTATTCACCAGACATTGCTTGATCCGATTATCACTTGTTCAGATCGATAGCACACGGGCTTTCGAACCAGCACTTCAACAATTATGAAGAAATAGAGAAATGGCTCAATGAATGTATCACTTCGAAGGATGAGTCGTTTTTCCGTCACGGAATGCAACAACTGCCAGACAGATGGGAAAAAATAATAGCAAGTGATGGCAAATACTTTGATTAGTGTACTTTTTCATTTTTTTTCATACTAAAGTCTTTTTTGGAAGAAAAAACGGACCGAATTAATTCACATACCTAATAGAACAGAATTTTTTTCGGTGTAGGCAAATCAAAATTATATGCGTATATGATTATATATATGATTATACAGAATGTCCCAAAACAATTTTAGCAGAGTTTATAAGGGCATAGAACAGATTAAGGTGAACAAAAAGTCTCATCTCGTTTTATCATATTCACAGTAATTATCGAGTTATTAATTACAGAAAACTGACGAGTAAGTACGCGCTGAGATGATATTGAACGAACATTGCAGCCGATCGAACCACAACACGGCCCAATCAATCTAGCAACCGGCAGGCGTACGGCGAGACGTAGGAGAGGAGAAATAAGATTAGCACATAGCAGCGCACATTGTTCTTCCCTTCACCGCGCTCCGACAACAGTTGTTAGATCGACTGGGCCACGCTCTTGCCCAAGTGGCTGCAATGTTTCCCCAGTTCTTCACCTCGGCGCGTGCTCACTCCTCAGATTTCTATAATTAATAATTCAATAATTACTGTAAATATCGTAAAACTGGAACCTTTTTATTCGCCTTAAACTGTCCTATGCCCTCACGAGTTCTGTCAAAATTGTTCTGAGATACCCTGTATACAGGTAAAATAATTACACAATTATTTTTTTCTCCGGTTACTGTACGAAAAGTGCAATCATGTTTAACCTCTTCGGTACGAACATCGATTATATAATCTAACCGCTGCAGAGAATGATTGTGTTTTAACATGATTTTGAATTCTTTGGAATATATTTTGGGTAATTTCCAAACGTTTAAGGAATGATGGAAGGATTTGTATAAGAATAAGGAGAACAAGAGAAGACTGATATTATTTTGAAAAAGTAGAAATTATATATCCTACAGTCATATATTATTAAGTTGCTTGCAAAAGATTATATGACATTATAACCATTTATATTTATTATATTTATTATATTTATTTATATTGTTATTAGGTGCTTACAAAAGATCATTATAACCATATTTATTATATTTATTATATTTATTATATAACAGTGAGATGACATATAATATTTTCTAATTATTTTGTTAAGTATTTGCAAAAGATCATATGATATTAAAGCTGTATTTACTTATTAATAACAACGAGATAATGCATAATATTTCAATCAAAGTATTAACCGTTATTATCAATAACCTTCTACAGGGTTTTTCAATTGGTGCGGGTCGATGTTGGCAGCCTGTGGCGGCCATGTTGTTTTGGCGGCGTCTGTCTAACCTGTTGTTTATTATTCAGTCACTGATGCCAAATCACCATGACAAGTTACACGATTGAGCAGCACGTCCAAATGATAAAACTTTATTATCAAAATGAGTGTTCGTTAGTGCAAACGTTGCGCGCGTTGCGCCCATTTTACGGCAGACGCGGTGGTCCTTCAAAGTCGACTCTTCAACGTTTGGTGGCCAAATTCGAGACGACCGGTTTGGTAAACGATCAGCCAACACCCGTACGTCAAAGGAACGCCAGATCGGCCGAGAACATCGCCGCTGTAAGTGAAAGTGTGCAGGAGAACCCGAGGCAGTCAATTCCTCGCCGTGCACAAGAACTCGGCTTTTCGCAGACTTCAACTTGGTCAATTTTGCGTCGGGACTTGGGCCTGTACCCGTACAAGATCTAACTGGCCCAGGAGCTCAAAGTTAATGACCATAGACAACGCCGTTTGTTCGTTGACTGGGTTTCGGAGCATTTGGAAGAGGACCCCAATTTTGGCCGAAAAATCATCTTTAGCGACGAGGCGCATTTTTTGATAAATGGCTATGTTAACAAGCATAATTGCCGTATATGACACGACGCCAATCCACACGAGGTTCAACAGGTAGTAATGCATCCACAAAAAGTTACTGTTTGGTGCGGATTTTGGGCCGGCGGCGTCATTGGTCCGTACTTTTTCGAAAATGACGTTGGTGAGGTCATCACCGTCAATGGCGAGCGCTACAGAACGATGATAACCAATTTCTTTTGGCCCAAATTGAACGATATGGACGTGGACGACATGTGGTTCCAGCAGGACGGCGCTACGTGCCACACATCGGACGCCACGATGGACATTCTGCATGAACGATTTGAGGGTATGGTTATCTCTCGCAGAGGTGACGTGTATTGGCCACCAAGATCGTGCGATTTGACCTCGCTAGACTTTTTCTTGTGGGGTTTCCTGAAGTCGCAGGTCTATGCCAATAAGCCGCAATCGACCGATGTCCTTAAAGTCAACATAACCCAGGCCATCGCTCAAATTCAGTCGGATCTATGCGGCAGAATCATTGAAAATTGGACCACTCGGATCCGTGCCACCGTGAGAAGCCGTGGCGAACATTTGAACGATGTTATATTCCACACATAATGGCATACATGGGCCTTTCAAATAAAAAAAGAATTTAGTTAATACCTCACACACAGCTTGTTTTATTCCATTGCAACATCGACCCGCCCTTATTGGAAAACCCTTTACTATCTTCCGGGTAATAATTTAATCCCGCACCGATAAAATGACTAATCTTTCGAGGCTATCCATTCATCGGTCTACTTTCGTACTTCCTTAGAATTTGAGACAGTATATCAGATAGACAGTGTTGTTGATAATGTCAGTCTGAATAGATAAAAAGCAGATGAGGCAATGTCTGAAAATTACGTTGGATGTAGCAAGACTTCCCAATCTAACTCGAGCAACGTTTCTTTAGTCGTAACATGCGGCTTGGCGTTGCCGTAAAACAGAATGACTCTGCATTGATTTGCGGCTATTTGAGGGCATGTTTTCTTCATGGCTTGGTTCGAACGCCACAATTGTCGACCGTAGCGATCTCCTGCGACTACCCGATAGCAATAGCTCATAGTAAGGCACTCTTTGATCCCACCAAATACACAGGAAAACTTTATGACCATAGATCTTGCGTCTTGTTATGGGTGTCGTTGGTAGTACTTGGCTGGGATCAACTCATAACGTTTGCGTTTAGGATTGTCAAAATAGATTCACTTTTTATCAGTCGTAACCATTCGCCACAAAAAAAACTTTTTCTTTTGTGCCTGACAAACAATGAGAGATAAATGATAAGCTGGTTGTAATCACGTTTTCAGAAAGTTCATGAAAGAACTCCATTCTCCTTTCTTTTGGATCTTTCCCATTACGTTTGAATGACAAGATACTATTGATTTGATACTGTTGAATTCCAAGCTGTCTTACAAATGTTGTTCCATCCTCAATCGAGTTAAATGTGACGTTTCGTTCGCTATAAATTGTCAATTATCAATTTTGATCGAGCTTGATCAATATTTAGAAATTGAAAAACAACTTAAGGAGGAAAATAGTTATTAAGTTGCTGCTATGGCCATCTATTTGTGACTTTACGAACTTTTACAAGCACCTAATATTACACAGAAGAGAGCGAAAACGTTGCGATAATATTGTTAAATCTGAAAAAGAAATGTCGACTGCAATCAACAGACATCAAACATCACAAGCAGAGCATCGACTGTAATCGACAGCTAGTCAGTGCTTATTTTTCTTATTCTTGTTGCTAATAAAGTGATTTATATTTGGAAATAATCTTACATTTTCTATTATTTGTTATATATAAATATATAATATATATATATATATATATAATTACTTTGCCAGAAGACGTAGTACATAAAAAAATGCTCTTGCGTCTATCGCTCGATTTCTGGGTAATTCTACACGGCAAGCAGCTTTCGTATCAAAAAGCATTAAATACGAATTTCAAGCTCAAAGCGCAATTGAATGCGCAAATGATTGCGAATCAGATTAAACGAAACGCGTCGGCTTAATCGCGACCGCGCCTGACTTGAGAAATTTACAGAAGCGAAATGAGAAACAAAAAGCAGTAGGGAGTCAGAAGCGGAAAAATGCTCGTGAATGCTTTATTCAGACGCTCTTTCGGGACTCGCGGAGAACTTTAATTTGCAGCGCCTTAATTATTTCCCTATCTCTATTAGCCGCTCTCTGGTGATTCTTTCGCGTAACTAGTCCCACGAGGGACGGTGTAAGTTGCGAATTCATAGCGCGCTCGTATTTCTTACTCGAGATGTGTGTGCGCGCCGTTTCGTTTACAGCTATCTTGAATATCATTCATGATTCCGCAGCAAGTAACAGTCTTTCTAAAGTCGCAAGAACTACCGGTCGCCGCATTGCGGAAATTAAAAAGGCTAACACGTAAATCACTCTTAACACATTGACTGCCATACAACGCCGATGAATGGCGCTGTAACGTTGTCGTCATGTTTCACTAATTTACATATGAAACATAACTAACTGTGACATATTAAATATATAGCCAACAAAAAGCCAATGAAATGAACTAACAATTATATACATTATATATTGAATTTATTTAACAAATCTTTAGTGACTCAAACCTGAGTTGAGCAGCGTCTAAGCAGTGGCAAACAGAAATCCTTCGTCAAAATATGTTTCAATGCTTCTGTATTGGATTATTTAAATCATCCATCACCGTCGTATCTCAGTCATCTTTATTTAAAAAAATGGACGCAAAATTGACGGACTCTTGTCTGCCACAGTCTAAAAGAATAATAAGAATACGGTCTTAACCAAATCGTCTTCTGCAAGCGTGACTGTTTCTTTTCTCTTATTCTCTTTCTTGCGCGCTGAATGTTCTTTTCTTTCACCGTTTTAATTTTCTCTCACCATTTTCTTTCACCATGTTGATGATTCGACCCGGACAATTTGCATACCTCTTTGCAGTGTCTTTCGGCGGCATAATCGGCTTATTCCTGGGCGGCTCATTGCTCAGCGCTGTCGAACTACTCTACTACGTAATGGTGGCCGCGTTTTCGTCCCTATACTCGCGACAAAGGACCGGAGCGGGTTCTAGGATGCGTACGAGCGCGCCGATCGTCCGCACAACGGTACTGCCCATCCTGGATTACGGCCCGCTAAAGCCGCCAGCGAGGAGAATACCGATTTTCGCGAATTACGGCCTCGCGAAATCGAATTTGAACAGATATTGAGTTACCGCGGAGATAACCGCACCGAGTCTTTCGGTCAGAGGCTTTCTAAGCGCCGGCCGGTCTGAGGGGCGCTTAGAGGGTCTCTATTATGGCCGCTGTGAAATTTGAGAAGGTAAAATATATAAAAGAGAGCACCTCCCCATCTCTCTCCTTTCCTCCGAATCAATACTTGTTATCTATTACGTTAAAATGCGAGTATTTGCGCGCTTGCGCATGTATATGTGTGTGTGTGTGTGTATGTTTATTACATGTGCCTGCATGTAAGTGTTTGCGTCGTTAATAGAATTCTATTCTTGCCGAAATTGAGAAACAGAATGTCGAGTCGCGTGGGGATCAGATAATCACATTTGGCGCGCTAAACGCGCGAACCGGCAGCACTGTCCGTTGGAATAAACGAGTCTCGTTTTTCATAGACATGTTGGTATTGTGTTTTACCGTGAGGCTGTCCTCATAAATCAGCAAGTAGCCACGATATCGATCGGATTTGACAAGGAAATCGAAAATGCCTTGCTCACGAAATCTGGTATCCACCTAGGCATCCATATTCATGTATAAGTGTCCGTGTGGCGGGCAAACTCGTATTTTATTCAGCGTTACATATGATACATACCATTCCATCTTGCCGTTCCGCGGCCGCGTAACGTTTGACTTCAATAATACACGTCCATGCATTTTGCATGCGTTTTGAGCTTCCTTCTTTCTGATTTTCGCCGGGGTGAGTGAGTGGAGAGAAAGAGAGAGAGAGAGAGAGAGAGAGAGAGAGAGAGAGAGAGAGAGAGAGAGAGAGAGAGCCTGAGAGGAGCGTCGAGTCGGACGAGATTCGACGCGACGAATTTGCGCGAATTTGAACGCCAGGCGTCGCGTCGAGCGGACGATGTAAACGACGGGGAGAGAAATTAACGGCGCGCGTTTGACTTTCTTCTCGCAATCGCGCTCGTGCAAAATAGATGAATGTAAAGACGACGACGCGACGACTTTACATCCGAGACATCGACAAAGTTAGCGACCCTACGGCAAATTGGCCAGATAATTTATCGGGAAAGGAGGATAGAACGGGAGGGTGGAGTGGGTGGGGGAGAACTGCGAAAGTGAGACATGCGAGCCCGTACGTGCCCCAGTTGCCGTTATTTCGCACCGCAAAACTGCACGTGACGACAAAATGCGGGTACAAGTGGACAATTCCGCGGCGCTCTGCGTGATCGCTGAAATGTACGAATAATGCGGACAAATCGCGCATATAATCCCGCGTGCATTTGGTGTACTTGCTAAATTGCCAGTCTGCAGTTCATACTATTTGCGCGATATATCGTACGCAAATAATGCACGAAGACCCGCGCGCGAGTGTCGTTTGTCTTGCTTCCAGGTTAACGCTCGCAGTGAGACGCGGCATTATTACTGATGTTACATTCGGCATTATTACGCAGTGTACGCTGCACAACCGGCATTTCGGGCGAATCTCCCGCTGCACCAACCCCCTCCCCCGCTCTCTCCTTGCCGGCGTCTTTCCGCACGAAAGGAATCCCGACGTCCGGGGAGAAACCTAATGTCGTCAGGCGGAAAAGTTTCGCGAAAAAAATGGCGAGCTCGCCGTCGCTAAGGACACCGTTAGTTCCCGCGGCTCGGCGATTTTTCGAGCGGCGACGACGGGCCGGATTTTTCCCTCCGAGCTTCCCGCCGCTCGCTTTCACGCCATTGAGGGTAACCGGTGCACTTAAAACAGCAGATAAGACACGCGCTTCCCATTTTTCCATTTTCCCGGGCGACACGTGGGAAGCGCTTTAGAGCGCGCCACGCGGTTGAGACGGAAGTGAATGTACCGCCAGCCGTCTGGCCGAGCCCCATTTGACCATTTATTATTTATAAGAGGGGGCGGGGAGAACGAGAAGTTACGCCGTCCGTCCGACCGACCGACCGACCGAGCAACAACGTCAACTCTCCGGAAAAAAATCCCTTTCTCGCGCTTATCTCTTTTTAGGGGCGCCGCCCGCCGGGATTCATTCACCGTGAAAGGGAGATACTTCACGGGAGGATTCGCGTCTCCTATCCACTTCCCTCCTCCTCCTCCTCCTGTACCCCCCTCTCATTCTCTCCCTTTCTCCCTCACCTCTCTTTTCCCTCTTTTTTCTATTACGCTTTAAAAGCGTCCGTCGGGCTTTAGCCAACATCGCCTATTATAAAGACCCAGCCGCTCCCTCAGCCAGCCGGATGTCACATGTAGTCGGACGAAATAGTTTGAAGTCTTCCTCAAACAGGTACGTAGGTACTGAGCGAATAAAGAGGGATCGTTCGAGACTCGTTGGCGGTCATTTTGATCACTTCAGTCTTTCTAGTGGCAAACTCCCGCGGATATTGCTGCGCGCGGTGTCTGGTACGGGCAGGTCGAAGATCTACGAGTTGAATAGAAGCGGACAGACAAAGAAAAAAGAGAGAGAGAGAGAGAAGGAGTGAGACAGGGGGTGAGAGAGTGAGAAGGAGAAGACCGTGGCCGGGAAGATCGCGAGTGTGCGAACGATCGGGAGAGTGCGCGATTGCCGGCAGCAAAGCAGAATACACCGACGCAAAAGAAGCCGATGAAAAGAAGGAAGAAGGAGGCGGTGGTCAGGGAGAGAGAAACAGAGACAGAGAAAGAGAGAGAGAGAGAGAGAGTGTGAGAGAGAGAGAGGGAGGGAGAGAGAGCAGAAAAACCGATCGTTGTCTGGGAAACGAAGTAAATCTGCATTTTGTCAAACTGTCGTTTGGAAGTTCACGTGCGTGCCTAGAAGTCGCACGGAGGATGAAAAGTGAGGGTGGAAGGGCGAGGCGAAAAGGGAGAGGAGGATAACGTCGAAGGATTGTCGAGTGGCGAAAATGAAAAAAGGAGAAACGGCACGCGGCCAGCCAGCCGGCGAAGGAAGCCGGGCGAAGTTTCGAGTAACTCTCTCTCCAGCGTACTATTATCTAAACCCTTCACGTAGTGCTTCGAGTGATTTGGGCTGGAAGGTGACTGCCGCTGTTTCTTTCTTGCCGGGCTATATCAGCGTATTACTTTCGATAAGGATCCCGCAAACGGTAACTAGCCGCGCTTAATTGACAGGAATGCGTTATCCCGCTGCATGAATACGAAAGCTATGCAAGAGATGCTTGCTAGAGGAAGAATCGCACATTGGTTTTATGACCGTGCGTTTCATGTGATTATATACACAGCGTTCCATGATTGGCTACGATTACGAACGACTGCGACTCGAAAAAATGAACGCCCGACCAAATGATTGTCGCAGGTCGCAAGTTGGTAATATGATACGTTCATAATGCGGTTATTACATGCCGCAATGTTAGCTCTTCAAATTGTTTCCCTCAGAGGAGATCTTTTCATATCGCTTTACCGATAACACAGACTTGCGACATTTGTTGTTTGAGAATTAGAGACGGTTTCATACGTAATTTGCGCGCTCAGTACGAATCTAGCCGCAGAAACTGCCTATCAGATTTTCGAGATAAATATGGTGTACAAATGAATAATCCAAATTTTTCAGCTAAATTCAAGGTTTATTTTGAAAGAAAATAAAACAAATTCATCAATCAAAGTATTTGCCGTTGTTTTCTATAATTTTAAACCACCTTTCAGACAGCTGATGAATTCCATGTCGGAAAAATGTTGTCTTTGGACACAATAAAGTCGTCAAGTCATTTTCGAATCTCATCCACTGATTTAAAGTACGTATTAGATAAGGCATGTTGCATCAACTGGAACAAGTGGTGATCGGTAGAAGCGATGTCTGATGAATACGCCGGGTGCTGCAAGACGTCTCAGCCAAGGCTCAATATGTCTTTTGTCGTAGAAGCAATGTATGGCCTACTCTCTCAAAGTGAATCAGTGAAACTCACTGTCAATCAGCGATTATACAATGATTGTCAGTGCTAAGTACATCACTAAAAAATTCAATGGTATATTTACCACTGACAATCAGTGCATAATCGCTGATTGACAGTGAGTTTCACTGATTCACTTTGAAAGAGTAGCGTTGTCATGAAACAGTTTCACAGAACGTTCTCCTTTGCCACTAGACGGGCATTTTCGTTCTAATTCTTGACTCAAACAGATTAATTGCTGTTGGTAGCGGTCCGCAGTAATTGTTTCACTCGGTTTTAATAGCTCATAATAAATCACGCCCTTCATATCCCACCAAATGTAGAGCAGAAATCTTCTTTTCGAAATGTTTTGGCTTTGCGACCAATATTGATAGTTCACTGGGATTTACCCATGACTTTCTGCGTTTCGGATTGTCATAGAATATCCACTTTTCATTGCCCGTAACAATTTTCCACAAGAAAGATTTTCTACACTGCTTATTCAGAAGAGAAAGATACACTGCTATTTGATTTTTGTTGGCTTCAGTGAGTCCATACGAAACCCATTTTTCTTCTTTCCGAATCTGCATTTGGAGATAGTTTGTTGCGTTACTCCTAACTGCTCTGAAAGCTCTTTGTGCTGAATTCTTAGCGAGCAGTTGCTCCAAATCATTGTTACCGCGCTTCTGAAGATCTCCAGGATGTTCTTTGTCACTCAAACTGAAATCGCCGCTTTTAAGTCGCCATCTAAACCAAAATGCACACATATGTACGATACAACACCTTCACCGAGAAAGGAACAAATCGATTCGCATGCTCTTGCAGCATTTTTTCCTTGTTGGAATTCGTAAAGAATGCAGTGTCGAATATGCATCTTATCTGTTGCCATTTTTCACTGTACTGAACTGAATAATGTTTGAGGTTATGTTGAGCCTTCCGCCATAATGTAATTTTTAATAGCTATACAGAGTGTATAAAAAGTACCGGGACGTTGAAATACCACAAAAACTAAGCATTTTAGAAAAAAATGTTTCAAATAAAAATTTTAGGGTTTCAAAAGATCTATTTACTGACATTATGAATTTGATCTTGGGTTGCGTCGCCAAGGTCAGGACAAGGTCACCTTGAATTTTTTAAATGGGACCCCCTACTTTTATTGTAGCCTATTCTTG